CTTTTGCTAGAATTGTAAGACGACTCCCTAATTTCCACCGTATCCACACTCAAATTCTCTCTCTCACTAGTATTTCTCTTTCTTAACTCTTATGGTTTTCTCATTCAAACCATGCATGCCGTGCGTTAAAAATGAAAGAATTGCATTCCTATTTATACTAAAGGAATGTCGGCTACACCTTTACTTCTATTGGATGAAGTAATTGGCAGTTTACTAAAGGATAACAATAACCTTTTTGTTCCAGCCAAAGCTGAAAAGTCTATCAAAAACTTTATTAAATAATTGCATGCTAGAAGATGTGTCAATAAGAGGAAAACTTAAAGTTCCACCTCTTGCTTACATGGCGTAACCAATTTGAAAAGCTATAGCAATTTTCTTGCTTACTCACACTTAACTTAATATGAAGGCACCACATGTTTTGACAGCAAAACATGATAACTAATAGAAAACTTTAACACCACACAATAATTTTGGAGGAAGATAAGCATGCATATATCAAATGAATTATGTACATATCAAATAAATAATAATAAAACACTTATTTATCATTAATATCATAGATTCCAAATTAAAACGTATATAATTACTAAAGTATATATTTATTAGTGATAATATTTATAAAAGTATAGCACGTAATATTTTATATGTACATATATATATATATATATAATAGAATAATAATAATGCATATTTGATTGACACATGCTAACTACGTGGAGTGTATTAACTCAATTACATAACCATGCATGAAACTCTAGATAGCTAAGGACAAAAAATCCTACTACCATTAAATAAAATTAATATTAAAAGCATGTTTTAAGAATATCATCAAAATTATTGAATAAAACATATACTTTCATAAAATAATTATAATTTTTAATACTTACCAAAATAAAATATTAACATTTTTAAGAATAAGGATTCTCACATGATATTTGCAATTATGATGCATACTTTGTTCAAATGTGTGATGCTGCTGGGGTTTTGGGACTTCTTCCGGAGCAAAAACTTACAGCTGTTATACGAATATTGGTGTATGGAGTATCTGCTGATCATGTGGATGAGATTGCCAGGATGGAGAAGTCCACTACGTTGGAGGCTTTGGTAAGATTTTGTGATGCAATTGAAACTCTGTACACTAGAAACTACCTGCGTAGACCTACTCCCAGGGACCTCCAACGGCTTCTACAAAAAGTTGAAGCTCGAGGATTTTCAGGAATGATTGGTAGCATCGACTACATGCACTGACAATGGAAGAATTGCCCAACTGCCTTGCAAGGTGATTACGGAAATAGAAAAGGCCAAAAAAGTATCATCCTTGAAGCCATTGTTGGCTTCGACACATGGGTTTAACATGCCTTCTTCAGAGTTGTCGGATCCCAAAATGACGTGCTGGGTCAATCCTCGGTCTTCAACGATATTTTGAGAGGCTAAGGCCCCAATATTACCTATCAAGTCAACAATACAGTCTACCAAACAGAGTATTATCTAGTTGACGGCATCTACCCGAGGTGGACCTCATTTGTCAAATCCATTCCGAATCCCCGATCTCAGAAGCAAAAATTGTTTGCTACCTATCAAGAGTGATACTGGAAAGATGTCGAAAGGTGCTTTGACATCATTCAAGCCCGGTGGTTAGTTATTCGAGGTGCGGCCCGTATGTTTGATGAGGAGATCCTCAGAAGCATTATAATGACTTGCATCATCCTCTATAATATGATTGTAGAGGATGAGTACGATTATGATGCTGTAGAGGTCTACGAACCAGATCCCATGAACACGACCTTGACACAAATTTATGAAAGGCCCATGGGGCCAAGTGGAGAACCGTTTGAGCAGGAACCGTTGGTGAGGGATGGTCGTTTCATGAGCCGGATGATAGATCGATATACAGAAATGCAATCTTCGTATATTCATGAAAGGCGTCAACTTGACTTGATGGAGCATCTATGGGCGATGAAGGGCAATGAAGATGAATGATGGAGCATAGATGCTTTGGTTATGTTTTATTTAGTTATGGTTTGGTTGTGTTGTTTTTTATTTATTATGGTTTGGTTGTGGTTTGTTATTATTATTGTGTCTTGTTTGTAGTTTTTTTTATATATTTTAATTATGTTTTGTTTGATGTATGAAATATGTTGAATAAAAATGTATTTGATTGAATGCTTTGTTTATTAAATAAAGAAATCCAATACAAGTCATTAAGAATTACTACTACTAAAATAAAAGACATGAATTACAACAACTTTAATAGAAAACATGAAAAATACAAATACATAAAAGGTATGCCAACTAATTTAATGGTTTTCATCATTTAACCAATCCGTGTTGTTAGGCCCATCATCCTGGAAAAGTCTTCTTCTCATAACATCCCTTAGTTCTAGCTTCCAAAATTGTTTTGTTTCAGGGGACATATGGCTTGTATCCATCGCCATGGTTTCCCGAACCGTCTTGTATATCTCTTTTTGGCGCAAATACTCCCTTTCTTGTGCATACTCAGCTCAAATTGTCATCTCGTTCTCTTGGCGTTTCTGCTCTCTTTCAATTCTGGTTTGGCTCTGCCTTGCAATTTCCTCCAAATTTTTTGATGTATTATTGCTCGAATTACCCGCTTTCTTTGCCTTCGCAACCTTTTGGCCAATGGGCCTCGACTCCTTTTCGATGGGTGAGTCTTGACTCATAGGGGAATCGATAGGTGAATCTGATGTCATTGAATCACGGAGTGGCGTCTCGTTTAACATAACCTCGGGACCCGTGGGAATAATTTTGAAGTGTTTGCAATTTTTCACCACCTCCCAACATTCATGATGGTTGAAACTTTTTTTGCCTTGCCGAGTTGCACCAAACCACATCTATGCTTGAATCATCTATTTTTTAAAAAAAAAATGGAAATGCAAGAAATATTTAAAATATATTGGATATGCAAGTAACCAAAAAAAAGAAAAAAAAAAGAAAATGCAATTAACCTTACAAATAAATTGGAAGTGCAAGAAATATTAAGAACATATTGAAAATGCAAGAAATATTAACAACATATTGAAAATGCAAGAAATATTAACAACATATTGAAAATGCAAGAAATATTAACAACATATTGAAAATGCAAGAAATATTAACAACATATTGAAAATGCAAGAAATATTAACAACATATTGAAAATGCAAGAAATATTAACAACATATTGAAAATGCAAGAAATATTAACAAAATATTTAAAATACAATAAATATTAACAAAATATGGAAAATGCAATAAATATTAACAAAAATATATATTAGGATATTAAACTTAATAAAACGAAAATTACAAAATACTTACCTGGTTACTACAATTTTTCCCACTTCTATAGTTGTCCATCGCTTTTGCCAAGGCATCTCTCCATTTTCCCAACTATTTATTAAGAATTTTCTACCTAGTAAACAATGCCATTTCCGTACGAGTCGACCCCGGAATTTTTTTACAAAATTCGGGATGAATTTTTTTCAACATATGAAAAAATTTCATCTCATTGCATGACAAGGGACAATGACAAACTTGGAGCCAAGCCTCAGACAAGGAAACATCTTCCATGGTGCTCCAAGCCCCTATGATTTCGATAGAAGAAGCCATAAAAATAAGAAATAAAAATACAAGGTGAAAGAGAGGAAAATGTTGAGTAAATAGTTAATAATAGTAGAAGTAGAATAAAATGTATGAGGATTGGTGTTGAAAGTGAAGGGTATTTATAGGTATTTATAGAAGAAAAAAAGTCCGGATTTTTTAGTATTTTTTTAAAAAAATTTCGATTTTTTTTCATAATTTTATTGCCAAAAAAATGCCAGCTGTTGAATTGGATTCGGAGAAGCAGATCGAAGCGCTAGGGGCGTGACACCTGGCTTCTACTCGTTGGAGCCTGCGCAGGGCTGACGTCACGAGCCAACGGTAAAAAAAAATTTAAACCGCGTGATGACGTCGCGCATGACGTCACCAACACGCTGGCTTGACCTCAGGCTAAATTGGCCTTCTGGCCAGCCCGACTTCCTGGGACCCACTCCCAACCCGGACTCGGGCTCCTCGCTGGAAATGGTTTTTGAGTATTTTTCCCTTAGCCCTAGGCTCTATGGCACCGGTGGAGTTGCTTTTACGGACTCAAAGAGGAAAAGAGGAGAGAGAGAGAGGGATGCCGATAAGATGAGGAAGAAAATAGACATAAAATATGTTTTAAGTCTGTTGCCAGCTGTCAGAATTGGATTGGTTTAGGATATGCCGATGGTGGAATCACTGTGACACGGAAGTTTTTCTCGGGGTAAACCGGACTCTCCATCACCTACAATATCAGATTATCTTTCTTCTCCAAAGTTTTCATCTCAAATATCAGATTTGCTTTAATTATAGCTCTGGTGCATTCAGAGAAACAGATATGGACTCCATCGAGTTCTTTCAAGTTTTCATCATAATTATCATGACTCTGTTCTGCTTGTACTTCAGATCATTAACATCTTCTTCTTCTTCCACTTCTTCTGTTGCTGCTGTTGATACTGATATCCCCCATCTTCAAGAAAAGTATGATGTGTTTATCAGCTTCAGAGGTGATGAAACACGCGATTCTTTTACCAGCCATCTTCACAAGGCTTTACTTCGGAAGAACATTGAGACCTACGTGGACGACAAACTTGAGAAAGGAGACGACATTGGACCTGCCCTTCTAGAAGCAATCGGGAGATCGAAAATTGCACTAGTCATTTTCTCAAAAGACTATTCTTCTTCCACTTGGTGTTTGAAAGAACTTGTGCATATACTTAGATGCAAGAAAAACCATGGAAAGATTGTTATACCCATTTTTTATCGCGTAGATCCATCAGATGTACGAAAACAAAAGGGAACTTATGCGCTTGAAGGTCATCAACTTAAGAAACGTTTTAAGGGCATTGGGGATGAGGATGAGGTGGCCAACTGGAGGGCTGCTTTGGAGGAAGCAGCCAATATGTCTGGGTTTCATTATTCAAGCAAAACAGGGTATACTAAATCTCTAGCTTGTATCAATTTCTACTTGTTATCATTTGATTCACACTTACTCATACTATTGTTTGTCTTTCATAACGATATTTGCCAGGAGGACAGAGGCCGATGTTGTTGAGCAAGTTGTTCAAGATGTTTTGATAAAATTGAATATGTCTACCAAGCCCAAGAATAATACTGAGAGAGGTGAGGCCAAAAGAGGCGATGCCTTCAACATTTCCGGGAATACAATTGAGGGGAGCAATTCAGGTAGGGTAGGAATTTTCGAGTTTGGCAGCAAAAACGTCTATAAAGGCCATGAGAAAGAAAAACAAGTCGACTCAAGAAGTGGAGAAACCGACTCGGCCTCCGGTGGTGAAAACGAGGAGTGAACTCAGGTGATCTGTGGTGTATAGGCCTCTTTATTTTATGTATGCACCACGTGTCTTATGTAATTTGATAATAAAAATTGAATATTGTCCTTTACACAAACCCTTTAGTTTTGAGTTGGTTTCCTTTGCCAGATCCCATGATTGATGAAATTGTTTCTTCACCGAAGGTGTGTTTCCTCGTAGTGGATGAAATGAATGTAAGCTTAATCGGTCTGATTTGATCTGATTTTAGTAATTTTTTTTTTGAAATCGGCCAGTTTGGTTCTCACTAGTTCTGGTCCAATTTTTGGTTTTTCCAGTTTTGAATCGGATTATTAAATTTTTTTCATTTGGTTTCCGATTTTCCAATTCCGATGCCCAATGAACTTCGCCGGTGAACACTTATATAATGATTATTGGGATGTCTTTGTTAAATACATGATGGAGGAAGAACATAGGAAACAACGGATGATGCTCTGCTCTAGAAAGCTTTTACAGATTTCTTGAATGGATAGAAATCTGTAAAGCATACATCAATTCAGTATAAACGGGAGGGAGCACAAAACGCGTGGGTCAATATCCATGGGCAATAGGTTGGCATCCAAAGTTGACAACGGAGAACCCAAGACATAATAAAGAATTTGGATACTTTTCTGACATCCATTTCAATTGTATCATGATAATATAATTTAATTATAATAGTCCTTAGTTACCAAATTTTTATACGTTGAGTTGAGAATTTCAATGTGACTAACAACATTTTTTCATGTATAAATATGGTAAGTTGAGCATTACCCTAGTAGTAGTTCTCATGTGCTAATTTGTCAGTAATTGTAAAGTATGCCAAAATGAATGATTAAAACCATATTAACTTACTAACTAGTTAACATTAATTTGAAAATTAAAGCCCCGTTCATCGCTTAAGCATTTAACCGATTGGTTGATGGAAGGAGTCAATATATAGGTTTTATTTGAAATCAACCTTACAATTCGAGGGGTTTTAAGTAATTGACTTTTTGTTCGTGGGAATCATATCCTCTATATCAATATATATAAAGCAAAAGGTAGAGAACGGTGAAAAATTTTAAATATAAAAAATGCCCTTGAATAATCCATAAAGCATATCTTTTTTTTTTCTTCTCATATTCTTCTCTCCCATTTGTCTCCAAATAAAATGTATGTATTTATTTGGCAAAAAAAAAAAATATATTATTATGGCAGCAATACGTCTGTGAACAAACTCTAAGTACATTTTTGAAAGTTTTTACAAAAACTAACATTTTTGAAATTATGGGTCAAGTTTTGACTATTTTTTATAAGTTCTCTTTAGGCATCGATTTTTCCCAATGACTTTTATACCCTCCTCTAACCACTGGCGGATCCATCGTATTTTGCACTAAAACCGAATTTTCATATTTTGATTTGGTGGGAATTTGATTTTCTAGTATTTTTATTTGAATCCAAATGGGGGGTACTTCCTTATTTACATTGTAAACTTAAGTAAATGGAGTAATATAAAAATAAATAAAAGTAAAACGACAAAGACATTTACTTAAATGTTGAAAATGGAAATAAGGTAATCTGTACACCAGTTGAGCAAAGGGGCAATTTGAAGTACCCACAATGATTTTTCCGGCAAGGGGAGGTGCAGCTGCACCTCCTTGCGCCTTGCTACGTCCGCCAGTGCCACTAACATCACATTACGAGGCATCGGTATGTGATAATAAAAGGCATCAATTTTCTCCGATGCCTGTTAGCTAGCAACTTTCTCTCTAACCTTCTCCTTTGGACCTTCTCCCTTTTTTACTTGACATGTGTCATTCTCTTTACACTTAAAACAATGTTATTAATATATTATATAAGCTAACTTTTGCTTTCCAAGTTCACCCTTATTAAATGTATTCAATTTGTTCAAAAAAAATTCACAAGTTTTTTATCATCTTATTAATTTTTTTCTAACGTCAATTATTTTTTTTAAAGAAAATATCTGCCTTTAAGAGGAAATGTTCCTTCTTTTTATTTTATTTATTTATTTTATAATAATAACACAAAGGGTTTATATAGAGAAAAAAAAAATCATTTGTGTTTAAAAAAAATAGACATTTCCTCTTTTTTGAAAAAAAGCAAACATTTTCTTTAAAAAAATAATTGACGTTTAAAAAAAAATTAATAAGATGGTAAGAAAGTTGTGAATTCTTTTTGGATAAATTGAATACATTTAATAAGGGTAAACTTGGAAAGTAAAAGTTAACTTGTATAATATATTAATGACATTGTTTTAAGTGTAAGGAGAATGACACATGTCAAGCAAAAAAGGGAGAAGGTCCAAAGGAGAAGGTTAAAGAGAAATTTGCTAGCATTCCCCTTTTTTGGTAGTGTGAACTCTCGGATGGATGTCTCGATTGCTGAGTTGATTGCTCCTTTTTATATCAAGGGATGACTCATAGCTAACCATACATGTCGATGTGGGATTAAATAAATTATTCTAACATATATATTTTTTCCTCTCACATCCTTACATGGAGTCATAAAGAATATATATATTCCCCTTCCGTTGAGGTATTCTTCAAATAATTTTATTTAAAGGACACCCTTTTAGGGTATCATATGATTTTTTTTTTTTTAACGATCCAAACTGTTTAATTTTGAAGTCTTCATTCATAGATCTTCTTTGCAAAAAATCAGACAAATTGAAAATCATTAAGGCATCTAATTGAGACAAACAAAATTAATGAAAACGGTGCTTCAAGAAAGTACACAATTTCAATAATTTAATTGAATGGTCAAATGATATCGGACCCACGTTTTTTTTTTTGTGTTGTTTTTTTGATTTTTTGTTTTTTTGATTTTTTGATTTTTTTATTTTTTGATTTTTTTTTTTTTTTTTTGTAGAGATGATCTTATAATGAATATCCACACAACAGACGGTTTGGACTAGTGAAAGGATATGAGAGGAAAAAAAAAATGTATATATATATATATGTTGACAGAAGTGTGAGAATATAGCTTGGAAAGCAAGCTAATGCCCACTTTACAATATTCCTCCACTTTTATCTATATATAAAGGGGAGAAATATACCATGTTTTGAAAGTGGACAAGGCAAAGCAATCTTCAACTTTGATCAGCTTCCAACTGATACGTGCAATGACATTTACCAATATGCTGAAGGCGTTGGGTTTGCTCAACAATGGTCCAGCTCCAGAGCAATGCTACAATCCAAATAGTACCAGAGGCACTCCTGCACCTGCTACTTCCAAAGGATATAATCATCCAGGTTATTCTCCTCCTCCTCCTCTTCCTAATGTGGTTAATGGATATCCAGTTAATAATAATTACACTCCTAATCCTGCTCCTAATGCTGCCCCTGCGTACTACTACTATTATCCCACACAGCCAGCCCCAACTAATCCTTCAGAATTAAGCCATGATAATATGACGTCGTTTGTTCCTCATGGACATGACATTAGTGAGGGCTTAAAGCCACCCAATGCATATGACAATAGTTCCTCAATTGCTGGGCCTGACCAACCGGAAAATTCGAAAAGTAGAATTAGTACTTGTGCTAATCCTTGTGCTAATCCCCAGCTGCCCAAGAATAATGGAAAAGTTGACAAGCACAAGAATATTGGAGAAAAGAATGGCAAGAGAAAGAATGGGAAAAAAAAGAGTTCCAGATCAAGCGGCGATTCATTCAAGGTTCATGGGAATACTATTAATGGAGGCAAAGGCGACAAGGTTGGAGTTTTCGACTTTGGTAACAAGTATAGTAGAGGCGGCAAGAAGAGAGACGAAGAAGAAGAAGATTCGACTGAAGAAGAAACTGACTCCGGTACTGAAGACGAAAGAGATTAGTTCTGAAGTAATTACTACATATATGATGGCAACAGTAAATAATGGAGTTGTCAAAATATATAGGCAACTTACATGGTACTTAAAGATCAAATTCAACAATATTCTGTAAATGTTATCTAGTCTCTCTTGATTTCAAAGAAAAAAAAAATTGTGTAACGATTATATCTAGCTATTCAATCGCGGTTATGGTGGATATGTATTCAATCTTATGAAATTATATTTCATTTGAGAACAGTTATTTTCAAATAGCAAGTACTCGAAATATATGTTGGGATTAAGCAATCTTTATTTATTTATTTATTAAAGGCCAAAGACCAAAGACTTTATTCATCAATAGAATGAAGAGAACACAAATCATCTGAAGGTAAGAGTGAAGCCAGGTAGGCCCCCTTCAATCCAATAACATGTCTCATTATTACAAGATAAAGCAAATTTGGCTAACTGGTGAGCCACAAAATTACATGAACGAGTGCTCACGTCAAATTCAGTTCGGTTCACGGCCTTAATCACCTCCAAACAATCATTTTCAATAATCAACCTTATGAATCTGCATCTAATGTCATATGACAACCTAGGCTTCAAAAGCCTTAGGAAGACAGCCAATTACAGGTTTAGCCACCATTAATTCTTCATTGACATTTCGGACTACTTCCCCATCTTTCTATCAGCCACACAACATGCCATCAACAAGTAACTTTAGCAAATCCCCCTCAGGAGGTTTCCAACGACAAGTAACAAATTGGGACTAAGTAATCCGCAAAGTGACTGGAAGATTATTTTTTCTAGCCACTTGAAAAATGATACTCTATTTAGCTATGTGCCAATTGGTTCATTAGTATTATTATTTTAATATTTTAGAAATCAGAAAGTAGGACTCATGTTCTTATTTTAATTTTTTTTTTCAATGTGAAAAAACTGTTAATATAATATATTACCCTTGTTGAATATCAAAGGTTTCAATTCTTGATAAGCTCATTAACTAATGGCATTTTTTGCTTTCATTTTCAACTTGTACACAACATTTTCCAATAATAAAATAATAACTCTTATTGTAAACATTTTCTAATAATAAAATAATAACTCTTATTAGAAACACTTACATATATGTTATGCGTGTGACACCAACAAATGCTTTTACGGGTTGGAGCCTAATTTTCCCAATAATATTAAACTATATAACCAAGAAATGCAGTGCAGTAGTGGGTCTTGGAAAAGGTTCAAAGTTAGAATCTCCCTCCATGTCATGACTCATACATAACATTTGAGGTGTGAAACATCCTTCAACCAAGAAAAACTGAAAGCCATAAAGCTTTACGTCTTTGTAGCAAAAGAGAAAGGGTATATATACTTTACTTTTCGTAAAAGGAAAATGTATAGTCAGAATAAAATTTTCTTTTTATTTGATGGTGCGAATAAAGTTGATTCGTGGGATTACCGATCGCGTATGACTAAGCAGTGACAGATTTATTTAAGGGTGAGTGAAGACTATTACCCTTATTACGTCCTTTTTGTTGCCCGTGAAATTCAATTGATACTCTTTTGAGCAAAGTGCTATGGGAACCCACCATCTTCTTTTTGTTTGATGCTAAGAATAAAGTTCATTCATTGTATTATCGATCAAGTATGGCTAAGTCCTTAATAAAAAAACCCAGCTCTAAACCCTCACGCATACGAGTCACGACTTCATTGGAATATCAAAAAGCGTTTGAAAGCTTTCAGGAATCGGAAGCCAATTCTTTACGTGCTAAGAAAGAATC